TTAATTCCCATTAATTTAATTAATTAATTGTCGATGTTTAATTCATTTCTCTCCCCCCCTCCAGGACCCCTCCCCCCCCATGGCCTCCCCCTGCCCCTCCCCCACCTTGGCCCGCCCCGATGACGTCACGGTGGGGGCGGGGCCGGACCCGGCGCTGGCCCCGCCCCCCGCGGGCCAAGCCCCGCCCCCCGCGCCCCACCCCCGGCTCAGCGTGGCCATCCTGTGCTTAATTAACCTCGTTAATTACATGGACCGCTTCACCGTGGCCGGTAGGGGCGGGGCTGAGGGAAAGGGGCAGGTCCTGTGCTTAATTAACCTCGTTAATTACAGGCGGGGCTAAGGGAAAGGGGCGGGGCTAAAGGCAAAGGGGCGGGTCCTGTGCTTAATTAACCTCGTTAATTACATGGATTGCTTCACCGTGGCCGGTAGGGGCGGGGCTAAGGGAAAGGGGCGGGGCTAAAGGGAAAGGGGCGGGTCCTGTGCTTAATTAACCTCGTTAATTACATGGACCACTTCACTGTGGCCGGTAGGGGCGGGGCTAAGGGGAAAGGGGCGGGGCTAAAGGGAAAGGGGTGGGGTTAAAGGGAGAGGGGCGGGGCTAAAGGGGAAGGGGCGAGTCCTTTGCTTAATTAACCTCGTTAATTGCATGGATTGCTTCACTGTGACCGATAGGGGCGGGGCGAAGGGAAAGGGGCGGGGCTAAGGAAAAGGGGCGGGGCTAAAGGGAAAAGGCAGGTCCTGTGCTTAATTAACCTCGCTAATTACATGGACCGCTTCACCGTGGCCAGTAGGGGTGGGGCTGAGGGAAAGGGGCGGGGCTAAGGGAAAGGGGCGGGTCCTGTGCTTAATTAACCTCGTTAATTACATGGACCGCTTCACCGTGGCCGGTAGGGGCGGGGCTAAAGGGGGAAGGGGCAGGGCTAAAGGGAGAGGGTTGGGCCCTGTGCTTAATTAACCTCGTTAATTACAGGTGGGGCTAAGGGAAAGGGGCGGGGCTAATGGAAAAGGGGCGGGGTTAAAAGAAAAGGGGCGGGGTTAAGGGGAAAGGCGTGGTTAAGGGAAAGGGGAGGGGCTTAAAAGGGGAGGGGCTAAAATGGGAGGGGTTTAAAGGGGGCGGGGCTAAAGTGGGAGGTGCTTAAAGGGGCGGGGTTAAAGTGGGAGGGGTTTAAAGGGGGCGGGGCTAAATTTGAAGGATTAAATGGAAAGGGGCGGGGCTAAAGGGAGGGGGAGGGGCTGTTGGTGGGCGTGGCCCAGCCTCGCCCCTCCCCCAGGCGTGCTGCCGGAAGTGGAGGATTATTTCGGCATCGGCGACAGCAGCTCCGGCCTCCTGCAGACAGGTGAGGCCACGCCCACCCAGGCCACGCCCACCAGGCCACGCCCACCCCAGGCCACGCCCACCCAGGCCATGCCCCCCAAGCCACGCCCACCCGGGTCACGCACATTCACAAGCCACGCCCACCCCAGGCCACGCCCACTCGGGTCACGCCCACCCAGGCCACGCCCCCCACGGCCACGCCCACACAGGCCCCGCCCACCCGGGTCACGCCCATTCACAGGCCACGCCCACCCAGGCCATGCCCACCAGGTCACGCCCATTCACAGGCCACGCTCCCACGGCCACGCCCACCCAGCCACACCCACCCAGGCCACGCCCACCATGCCACGCCCACCCAGGCCACGCCCACCGGGATCACGTCCATTCACAAGCCACGCCCACCCCAGGCCACGCCCACCGGGATCACGTCCATTCACAAGCCACGCCCACCCAGGCCACGCCCACTCGGGTCACGTCCACACAGGCCACGCCCACTCGGGTCACGCCCACCCCGGCCACGCCCATTCACAAGCCACGCCCACCCATGCCCGCCCACCCGGGTCACGCCCATTCACAAGCCATGCCCACCGCAGGCCACGCCCACCCGGGTCACGCCATTCACAAGCCACGCCCACCCAGGCCACGCCCACCCAGGCCACGCCCACATCCGTGTCCCACAATGCCCTGGGGCTCGCGGATATTTTGGGGGATTATTTGGCTTTTTTTCTTAAATTTTTGGGGATTTTCTGGAGGGATTTTTTTGGGTTTATTGGGATTTTTCGGGGCTTTTTGTTGTTTAATTTTTGGGGATTTTTGTGGGGATTTTTTTGGGTTTATTGGGATTTTTCGGGGCTTTTTGTTTTTTAATTTTTGGGGATTTTTGTGGGGGTTTTTTTGGGTTTATTGGGATTTTTCGGGGCTTTTTGTTGTTTAATTTTTGTTGATTTTTGTGGGGATTTTTTTGGGTTTATTGGGATTTTTCGGGGCTTTTTGTTTTTTAATTTTTGGGGATTTTTGTGGGGATTTTTTTGGGTTTANGATTTTTGTGGGGATTTTTTTGGGTTTATTGGGATTTTTCGGGGCTTTTTGTTTTTTAATTTTTGGGGATTTTTGTGGGGATTTTTTTGGGTTTATTGGGATTTTTTGAGGCTTTTTGTTTTTTAATTTTTGGGGATTTTTGTGGGGATTTTTTTGGGTTTATTGGGATTTTTCAGGTCTTTTAATTCTTGGGGATTTTTGGGGGATTTTTTTGGGTTTATTGGGATTTTTTGGGCCTTTTTATTTTAATTTTTGGGGATTTTTTTGGGCTTTTTTTTGTTGTTTATCCTCATTTTTTCAAGGATTTCTTTTGGGATTGTTTTAAGGGTTTTTTTTGGGGTTTTTTTAAATTTTTGGCTAATTTTGGGTTTTCCTCACCTGTCCAGTGTTCATCAACAGTTTTGTGCCCATTTTTGGGTTATTTTTTATCATTTTTGGTTTATTTTTTTAGGATTTTTGGCTAATTTTGGATTTTCTCACCTGCCCAGTGTTCATCAGCAGCTTTGTGCCCATTTTTGGGTTGATTTTTATCATTTTTGGGTGATTTTTTTCAGGATTTTTGGGTGGTGTTTTTGGGTTTTTGGTTATTTTGGGGTGTTTTTTTTTGGTTTTTTTCCGGATTTTTGGTTAATTTTGGATTTTCTCACCTGCCCAGTGTTCATCAGCAGTTACCTGGTGCTGGCTCCGCTCTTTGGCTTCCTCGGGGACCGGCACAGCCGCAAGCGGCTCCTGGCGCTGGGGCTGGGGCTGTGGTCGGGGGTGACGCTGGCCACCAGCTTCGTGCCCCCCCAGGTACCCCAAAATCACCTGGGCACCCCAAAAATCACCTGGGCGCCCCGAAAATCACCTGGGGACACCCAAAAAATCACCTGGGGGCACCCAAAATACACCTGGGGGCACCCAGAATACACCCAAAACTCACCTGGGCACACCTGGGGCTGGGGCTGTGGTCGGGGGTGACGCTGGCCACCAGCTTCGTGCCCCCCCAGGTACCCCAAAAATCACCTGGGGGCACCCAAAATACACCTGGGCAACCCAAAATACACCTGGGTGCCCCAAAAATCACCTGGGGATACCCAAAATACACCT